TCAAAACTCTTCTTCAGATGACATCACAAAAATAATAGATTGACATGTATATGTGTCAAGAAGTATATTAAGTTGCTTTTATTGAAAGATAACATACATATAGAGATGTACATGTGGCATAAGTGTACAGCTTTAGAAGAGCATTCTCAGAAACTGAGCACTGTGCCACATCATCTGGATCCAGAAACAATTCCTTTACCTCTCTTCCCTGTTGTAGTCATTAGCTACTACTCTGACATTTAACTGCTTAGAGTAAATAATTTTGCCTCTTTTTATGATTTATATAAATGGAAGACATACAGTGTGTGCTCCTCTGGGTCTTATTTTGCTCAATGTTGTTTGCGAGACTCGTGCATGTTTCTGTCTGGAGATGAAGACCAGTCATTCTCAAAGATGTATAGCATTTTGCATGAAGAGACTATAATTTATTTATCCATTCTACTTCGGGTAGACATTTGGTGATTTTCCAGGTTTTGGCTACAATGAACAGCGTTGCTATGAACATTCTCATGCATGTCTTCATTTGCACATACATAAGCACTTCTGTTGGTATATACCTAGGAGGAAATTGTGGAGTCATGGGGCAAAAAAGTTCAGCTTTAGTAGGTACTGCCAACACAATTTTCCAAAAATAGTTGTACGTCTATACATTTTTAAATTTAATAAAGTTAGAAACTAACCTATGAGATAGGTATTATCATTCCTATTTTTTCCCCTTTTTTGGATGAATAAACAAAGACTCAAGAGAGTTGCCCAAGGTTAAATAGCTATTGTAATGACAGTCTGGGTTTAAATCTAGCTCTGCCTGACTCCAAAGCCCATGCCCTTCATCACTACTCTGAACTGCTTTCATATCCTGGAGAGCATTCATGCCATTACCTCCCTCACTGCCCACAGCAGCGCCTTTGCTGTGGCATTAAGGTAGCACTGAGTGTGTGAGGCTACCCTCATGGTGTGGTGTTGGGAGGGTGTAGTTTAGTTGAGGCAGCAAATTCCTGAGGCTGTTGTATAAGAACAAACCTCCATCCACCTCCAAAGCACATAGGAAGAGAAGCAGCATGCTTTGTCCAAGTCCATGGGCAATTAGGAGTGTACAGTATTGGTGGCGGGGGTGGGCAGGATGTGGGTCTCAGGTAACAGGGAGTTCTTCCAGGTAGGAATGGCCGTAGGAGATGGAAGCTTCTCTTGATTTGTCAATGACAGGGTTTTTAATGGTCTAGTATTAAGAGTGCATCTGTCAGGACTTCTGGTTGCAACCCAATTCAAACTTACTTAAAAACAAAAAAGTTTTGGTTCATGTAATGAAAGTCCCAGGATTCACAGGGCTTCAGGCATGGCTAGATCTAGGCGTTAAAACAACATAGCTAGAAATCTGTCTCTATACATCTCTTGGTTCTGATTTCTTCTTCGTTTTCTTCATTGTTAGACAAGATCATCTCAATAGTAATGGTATCTGTCATCAGTTTGGACTTTAATGTAATTGTTTGATGACATGGTAAGAAGAAAGAGAGGGTCCTTCTCCCAGTAATTCCAGTAAAACTCCCAGCACTAACTCTAATATGACTCAGTTTGGGTGACAGGTCCATCCCCAAACTAATCACTGTGGCCAGGAGATTAGAATGTCCTAATTGGGGATCGGGATAAATCCTACCTGAATGACACAGACTGAGATTGGTGGTGAAAATTATTTACTCACAATGTGGGGTGAGGGGTGCCATGAATGGGGGCCAAAGCCAAAAGGGCAGGTAGTGAGAAGGATCTAGAGGAAAAACTGGCAAGCCCAGCCTGGGCACTGTGGCGTGCCAGCAAGGGCTGGGCATGAAGACAGTCATCATCATGCCATTCACATAATTCCTGGTCCTAGACATGGCCCTGACTTTCTCTTGAGTCTGCTTCAAGCTCAGCTAAAGCTCCATGGCTGTTGGAAAAGGGAGCAGAGGAACTGGAAGGAGGGGGTAGGAGGGCAAATGGCAGCTAGCTCTTCCGAGCCATCCCTGGGACAAATAGCCTACATGTCAAAGTCATGTGAGTGCCCCCTGGCTCCTAAGCAGCCGGATTGTAAGATATTTGCAAAGATGTTAACCCCACATAAAAAGTGTGCCATTCAATAATTATGTAAATTAGCTGGCAATTAGATAATGTCACTCACTTTCCCTCTCCCGCTTGATTCCCGTACAACAGATAAGTGTTTGGAGCTTCTGCATCAGCCCAGGCTGTCCATACAGGCTCTGGGGTACACCTAGGGCTCTCCTAGGGCTCCAGGGAGGGTGGCAGTTGGCTGACCGGGTGAAGAGGGATCCCTGTTCCCATTTTCCCATTTCTTGAGTCAGGCATGTCCCACTGGAGGCCTACAGAAGGCTAACAGATAAATGCTGAGGGCAGTTGGCTGGAGGCCTGTGATATTCAATGGAAGGTCATCTCCAGATTTTGGCCATTTTGGCCATTTCCCAGAGGCTTTGGGAATGTCCGCAACCCAAGAAAGAAATGGAGGGGCTTTAGGAGAGAATGTGGGTAGATCGTAGGGTGTCAAGCCTGGACAAATCCAATTCTGATGTTACCACTCCTGAGATCAGATTCTGCCTGCTGCCTGTGGGAAAGTAAGCTTGCTTTTCCTCAGTCAGCTTCTCTGATGCCCCACAATGCAGGGCAGGAGAGTCCTAGCATCTGCAGTGCTGGTCTGGGCCAGAGGGGAAGGACGAGAGTCTGCAGGGAGAGGCTCAGCCAGGCAGGGTACAGTGGCCACCCTAAAGTAGGCTTGGTACGTTCCCATGATCCTCTCTTGCAGGGGAGTGCTCTGGGCAGCATAGCTCTTAATTCATGGTTTCCCCAGACCATGAAGCATGTGCTGCTTTGCCCTTTGGGGTCAGGTGAGGTTGGCATCCAGAGTGGGGACTCAGGATTGCTGTTGTTGTGTAAAGTGGGGTCATATGGAGGCCACTGCATGGAAAAGAAGCCAAATGATCCACAGCGTTGCTCTTCAGCTTCTGTTTTTACTGTTGATTCTTTCTACAAATGTTTCCGAGCTCCTATTCCATGACAAGGCCCTGTGGTTGGCACCATGGTGAAGCCGTCGCTGTCCCCAGGGAGCCCCCAATCAGCAGATGATCCACAGCGTTGCTCTTCAGCTTCTGTTTTTACTGTTGATTCTTTCTACAAATGTTTCTGAGCTCCTATTCCATGACAAGGCCCTGTGGTTGGCACCATGGTGAAGCCGTCGCTGTCCCCAGGGAACCCCCAATCAGCAATCTGGTTCCAGAGCCTGGGCTCTTGATTGCTTGCTTTACTCCCTCTCGAGTACGCTTGTCCCCCACTAGTTTCGACTTGGTTGGCATACCCCACCTTACGCAACAACCATTCTCAGAAACTGTCAACGTTTCATGACCGAGCCTCCTGTTTCCTGCCTCTGGCTTCATGTCTCGCACTCACTCCACTCCAACAGCACTGGCCTCATGCTGTGTTTCAAATATACCATTCTGTTCCAGCCTCAAGACTTTCGCTTTGACTATTACTTCTGGAACATTCATCCCAGATATTTACATGGCTAATTCCCTCACCCTCTTTCAAGTCTTAACTTTCAACTTCTCAAGGACTGATTGGTGGTGTTTGCCTATTTTTGTGGCGTAAGTACTCCTAGCATAGTTGAGTTCATGCTACTAAAGTGACATCAACCAGCTCAACAATTTCTGAAATTTTAGCAGTCAGCTCCCACAAGCCAGCAGGATTCAGCACTAGCACACTCCTGGGTCCATGTTCCAGCTAAACATCCCTCACATCCCTGGGAGCTTCCATGCCCCACTTTAGGAAGCACTGCTTGGACAAAAGCTTATACAAAGGCTTTCCTAATGCTGGATCATCAGCCTCTCGTTGATTGGTTTTGTTTGTTTGGGAATAGGTGCTTGTTCCTTGTTAAAGAACAGCATCTTCCTCATCAAAGAAATAACTACCTTTGCCTATGTGGTCATCATAAAAACAGTGGATAGTAATGTTCTACTACAAACCATGGTGAGTTATCAAATGTGCCAAGTAATAACCGGTAACTCGCACGGCTCTTGGAAATTACACTCCCTGCTCCATCTGAACAGAGACCTCTGCACTCTGGTTAGGTGGGCCAGAGTGTGCCCTCAGAAACCAGATCATGGACTGGATTGGGTGCTGGTGCATTTCTAACCATTGTAAAACACATGTATAAAACATTATAACATTATAAAACACACTTGAGGTTGGTGGCAGTTCTTGACTCTTTGGTTGTTATCCATTCTACAGTTTTCATAACTTAAAAAAATATTTGTGTTTTTATACATTGCCCTCAGTCTGCAGATGCAGACACACACACACACACACACACACACACACACACAGACAGACACACACTCCCAAACCCTCTTCCCTTTCCATTTCATAAACAAAGAAGGGAGACACCTAGTATTTATTGATCATCTACTATGTATAAAGCCTCGTGTTAGGATCTTCCCATTTAACATGGTCTCCTTTAATTCTCTCCTCAGTCTTGGAAAGGGGCTATTATTTTCTCTACTTTACAAATGAGAAAATAGAACCTCAAATAGGTTAAGAAATTTTCTCAAAGTTTCACATACAGGAAGTAGGACTGAAACGTAGCCTTTTTAAAAAACCTCAGGGAGCATACTTTTTTCTATAAGAACTTTTCCCCAATATTTAGTAAGAGATGAGGGTTGTTTTGCTCATTACTCACCTTCTAATTTATTTTCTTTGATCCTCTGCCTCCTTGTTGGATTTCTTGCTCGTGCGCCCATCTGGGCTGTCTTGCTGACATTCCTCCTTCCTCACCATCTTGGTATTTGTGTGCGTGTCTCCCTCCTCTTGTGTGCTCTCTGTCCCCCATCTCTGCCTCCTTGTTGGATTTCTTGCTCGTGCGCCCATCTGGGCTGTCTTGCTGACATTCCTTCTTCCTCACCATCTTGGTATTTGTGTGCGTGTCTCCCTCCTCTTGTGTGCTCTCTGTCCCCAATCTCTGTCCTGTCTCCCTCTCTCCCTCCCCTGAGGGCCGCAGCAGCCACGATGAGCTTCACTCTGCACTCGGTTTTCTTCACCCTGAAGGTGAGCATCCTGCTGGGGTCCCTGCTGGGGCTCTGCCTGGGTCTTGAGTTCATGGGCCTCCCCAACCAGTGGGCCCGCTACCTCCGCTGGGACGCCAGCACGCGCAGCGACCTCAGCTTCCAGTTCAAGACCAATGTGTCCACGGGGCTGCTCCTCTACCTGGACGATGGTGGTGTCTGTGACTTCCTCTGCCTCTCCCTGGTGGACGGCCGCGTTCAGCTCCGCTTCAGCATGGACTGCGCTGAGACTGCCGTGTTGTCCAACAAGCAGGTGAACGACAGCAGCTGGCACTTCCTCATGGTGAGCCGGGACCGCCTGCGCACTGTGCTGATGCTCGATGGTGAGGGCCAGTCTGGGGAGCTTCAGGCCCAGCGGCCCTACATGGATGTGGTCAGTGACTTGTTCCTTGGTGGAGTCCCCGCAGACATACGACCTTCCACTCTGACCCTTGATGGAGTACAGGCCACGCCCGGCTTCAAGGGATTAATCCTGGATCTCAAGTATGGCAACTCGGAGCCTCGGCTTCTGGGGAGCCAGGGTGTTCAGCTGGATGCCGAGGGACCCTGTGGGGAGCGTCCCTGTGAAAACGGTGGGATCTGCTTCCTTCTGGATGGCCACCCCACCTGTGACTGTTCCACCACTGGCTACGGTGGCAAGCTCTGCTCAGAAGGTAAGATCCACTGCCCTCTCCCTCTCTTGCTAGAGGCCTGCCCACTGCATTGGGTGAGGGCAGAGACTCCTGACAGGAACCAGCTCTACAGAGAAGTGCTTCTTTAGCTGCATGTTAGCTAACTGGGCCCCTTTCCCTGAGGAGGCAATGGAAATCCATTGCTTGCTCTCAGTGGAAAATCCACCAGATCTCAGTAGGTAGGGAATCCTGGCTACTCAGCTGTGGGCTCTGCACTCAACCCAAAGGGCTGGTTGGAGAAGACTGCAGTCTGAACCCCAGCTCAACTCCTTCCATAGCAGCACTGCTTAGCAGGATCAGCACAGGGCAAGAAATTAGAAATTGGCAAAGTGTTTATCTCTGTCCCTCCTGATCTCTTGAGACTTGGACCCTTCGGGATGGATGTGAAACTCCCCATCACTTCCTCCTTTTAATCCCCAGCATAAGGGGTGCCTGTGCAAAGAAGAATGAGGTGGATGGGTTGCTGGGAACGTACTTGGCCCTGCTGCCAACCCAACCCTTTCCCTGTGCCCCTTCCCCCCACAGCCCCCTGGGGTGCACTCAGGGGAGGTCCTTGCTTTTTTGTTCTAGCAATGAACATTTTTCATATGAGTTTCCTCTTTAGATGTGTCCTCTCTACATACTAACAACAGTACTGACAGGCACAGAGATGGACTGGATCCTCATTCAGCCAAGTCCACCAAGGGAGCTGACAGTACTTGGCATAGCCTGGAAACCCCCCCAAGTTCAACTACAACTTTACAGGGAGAGAGAAGAAAGGACTTGTGCAAAAGGGCTTAGGCTGCCCTCACCTTATTCACCGTATTCTGACTGTTTGAGATTAGATCTGGAAGAAGTGGCCCGGGCTTTAATTTGGCAAATGCTCAAAAGCCAAATTCCTGGACTCCTGGACTCACTAAAGGCTTAGATTTGGGTAGGAGGAAACATTGAAGTGAACAGGTGTGTGAGAAGTGGCCAGATGGGTATGTAGGTTGGGAGGTTAGGAAGAGGAGGCAAGCAAGTTACATCACCTCTTATGCTTTCTGGGTTAAGGCCTGGATTCTTCTAGAGATGTTTTGTGTTGCTATCTCATGCTGATCTCTTCATGGAGCTGGTGGCATGGTATAAGGCAGAACAGAGGACTCAACCTTGGCTGCACATTAGGATCACCTGGGGGAACTTAAAAACTTCCAGGCCATGCCCCAGCCTAATTAAATCCGAATTTCTGGGGGTGGAACCCAAGAATCTGTATATTTGTAAAGCTCCCCACATTATGCAGTGTGCAATCAAGGTTAAGAACCAACTGGTACAAGGTCAAGGGAAGTCAGGTGGGTGGGGCCAGGTGAGTATCTTGCCACTGACTCCCAGGGTCTCTTCATTCAGGTAAGGCCCCGCTGCCCTGCTTCCTTGGGATTTGTAATTAAAGATCCTGTCTGCAGGTATTCCTTAAATGTTTCCAGAACAGCCCAACCTCTAAGGCAGGCTATGGTTCATGTGAACTTTAGCTATCAGTAGCTATTTAAAATTTTAAAAAAATCAAAGTTTATTTTACAAGTGGCACATGCTGGAGACTAGGACACATTGGAGGTCTCGCTGGAGGCCTCAGTGTAAGTTGTGTGTGGGCTATTGCAGGAGTGTTTTCTGGGTCTCTGCTTCTTTTCTCTACTGGGTTGGGCATCATATCTCCTTTCCTGTTGGAGAGGGAGAGGTCAAATGCATAGGTTGTCCTTGTCTGGCTTCTGTCTTCCCCACTGAAGTCACAGGAAAGAGGGGTGGGCGAGTGGGGTAGAGGCAACCCCAATCTGCAGAACCACTTTGGGAATGTGATTATTGAAGTGCCTCTCACAAGCAGGTGCATTCTGGAGCTGACTGCTGTTCAAAGCTTCTTGGCTTTGGAGAAAGTTCTGCCTGAAGACGCTGACATGATCACTTGTTTTCTCATTCACCCGAAGGATCTGTTCTCTTCTCAGAACTCGCATTGAAAGCTGGCATTCTTCCTTTCTAGGGACCAGGGTGTTTGCAACTGTGTTGTTAACTTGCTGATTATCCCTGATTGCATTTTTTGTGTTTAAAAAGAACTCATTTCCTCGGGGCAGGTTTGGATCAGCATTTTTCTGCAGGAAGAATCTCTGTACTGTATATGTATACAATTTGCCTTTTCTCTCTGGTGTGTGTGTGTGTGTGTGTTCCAGTCTCCAGTGGAATTTCTTCAGAGCAGATTGTATGCAGTTGATTTTTAAATAACTAAATGCAATATGGATATTTTAATAATTGGTTTTTCCACAAGGTTCAGATCATCTCCTGGCTATGGATTGGTACCTCTGTCTGTGGAAGGCAAACACCCAGCATAACTCATTTATCTTTCTGATACATAAATAGAGTAAATAATCTCTTTTAACGGTAACACTTGACTGGCTTGGAACAGAGCGGTGCAGAGGTGGAGGTGAGGGTGGATGTTGGGGGAGGCAACACAATTTACTGTTGATAACTTGCAGCCTGTTGATTTCAGTAATTGTCATCATGTCTAATCAATCACAGAAATGCATCATTGACTATTAGAAAATATCTGTTGCCTCCATACATGGTTAATTTTTAGAGAGTTAGTGGGAAAAACTCACCTGTTAAATGTTAAGGGGAAAAAGAATCACAGCAGCTGCGAAGTGTCAAGCAGATCTGCATAACAACAAGATAAATGGCCTAAACAAAGTCCTGCCCATTTTCCTAAAGATAATGTGGCAAAATGGGTAGTGAGAATGCATCCGTCCCCACTCCCCCTTAAATTGCACATGTCTCAGAACTGAAGCCAGGGGACTTATTCCCAGCAGTTGGTTCTGTGTACTAAGCACCTGATTGTCCTAATTTGCAGGATGGGCCCTGCCATTTGACTGTGCGAGGGCTTGCACCTGGCATGGAAGATCCATTTTTATACTTCATGCTTTAGCAGCTCAAAGAGCAGGAGGAGCTGCAAGGGCTCCTACAGCTTTGGATGGATGTGGCTCAGGCCTGTTGGAGGCGCCCTCTGTGGTCCATTAGTTTCCAGCCCACCTGCAGTGTTGCTGTTTGCTTGGCCTGTCTGGCTCTCCATGTCTTGATGGCTCCCAACGTCTTCATGCTGCACTCCAGGAAGAAGGCACAGATGGGCCCATCTCTTTTTATGTGCTTTGGGCTATTTTGATTTTCCACTGTGTATCTTCCATAGGTAAGATCCAGAATATGTCAGAGATAGTTGCTATGGAAGAATTGGTAAGAGTTAATGGACACAGTATCTTCTCTTTCATTTGGTGAAGGGCTTTTAGCTCTGGTTGCAGACTGAATTCTGCACAACTTACTTGAGAAAACCTTATTGCAAGACTACCAATCTAATTAACAGTCACACTGAGCATTATGGCACAATATGGATGAAGAAGAGGTCCCAGATTTTGACTTCTAGGTGTTATGTTTATAAATAAAATGCTTTGGTACTCCACCAGACTTGTTCATGTTGACATTTAATTTTGCCTTTTCAGTGATGTTCTTGGAGGACAGAAGAAATGCAGATAACTCAAGACGATTTAAAAATGATGCATCTTTGGTTTACAATGTAATCGAGTGCTGGCACGGCATTTTCCACTTGGCTTTATGTTTAGCTCAGTCTGTCCTGTGATGGGCAGCCTTGAAACTCAGCGGCTAATGAAGAGGTATCCTCAGTTCCCTCTAGAGAGCAGTCCCCTCACGGGTCATTAATAGTTTGTCATTACCTTAAAATAAGTTTAAACTTGTTTATCCTTAAAACATTCTTAGTTATAGATCTGCACGTACTGAATTTCTCAACAACCTTATGGTTGTGAAGAATTGATTTACCACCAAGATTTATAAATTCCAGCACCAGTTTCTCTTGAGATTACTCAGCATAAAGTCATCCTGTTGCAGGTAGGGTGGGACCAGAGAACAATGGGGCAGTCTTCATAGGTTGGTCTCTACTCTTGAGGCTCTTGGCATGTGCCTACTTAGGTCACATATCACTTGTGTGAACATGTTTTTAGGTTAATTTAGTGAAGAGGCATGAGGTCTATCTTATTCCATTGGCAGAGAAAAAGTTTGTTTATTGTCTATCTTTTCCTGCTGTGCCCAGACTAGAAGCTTTTTGTTTTGAGGCTCGGCTGTTATGTTTTCAGGTGTTGGGAACCTATAGTGAAGTGTCATGGTGGTCGTGGGTGACAGGGACCAGAGCCTTATTACAGGCACACTGCTGAGTAGTAACATTGTCTATCTTTTCCTGCTGTGCCCAGACTAGAAGCTTTTTGTTTTGAGGCTCGGCTGTTACGTTTTCAGGTGTTGGGAACCTATAGTGAAGTGTCATGGTGGTCGTGGGTGACAGGGACCAGAGCCTTATTACAAGCACACTGCTGAGTAGTAATTATTACAGGCACACTGCTGAGTAGTAACCAGTAGTGCCCACCCCCCACCCCATGTCCCCTGCTGTCTGAAGCTGACATCCTGCTCAGGTTGATTGATGACTCAAAACCACTGTATGGCCTTCTCATGCCTTCCTGAAAGTGAATTTCACTTCTTTTTATTGAGAATTTTGTGACTCTTCCCCCATGTCTCAAAGCCAGAGGATGGAATGCCCTATACCAACAGGAGGCTGCTGTGGCTGGACCCTGAGCATTTACTGAGGGCCAGAGACATCAGGTGCTGTAGTTAAGGTCCCAGTGATTGCCCCAGCTGGATGCTCCTGTTTGGGGCACTTGTGTAAAAACACAGTCAGCTCCCCACCCCTCTTCCCAGTGCCTACCCTGCTGGAATTGTAATGTGGCATTGTTCCTAATCTGTGTCATCTCTGAATGGCCTTGCAAAAGGCCTGGGGACTGCAGGGGAGTGATGAGTAATCACAGAGTCAAGGATAACTCCATTCCGAATCCTTTCCCCTGGTATGGAGAAGGTAGCACAAAAGCAAGGCCTTAAACTGTACACAAAGGAGGGACTGCTGCTTCGGAGACTCTGTTCCCCACCTAGCATTCAGG